CTGTATGCATGGTGTATGTTTAGGTGCGGGGCTGGGCTCTTCATTAACTTCATTAGCTGATTATTATTATGATTATTATTATTGTTATTATGATTATTATTATTATTATGATTAATATTATTATTATTATGTAATGTTATTATTATAATTATTATTATGATTAATGTTATTATTATGATTATTATTAATTGAACTCTACAGTTAGGCGGTATTCCTATTCTTATGGTACGTGTGAAAATTATTTTAGTTATTTTCATTTTTATTTGATCGAGTCGGCGGCTCTGGGAATGGCTTCTGTAAATTTGTTTTTATGTTTCTGTTGTGATTTAATGTTATCATTGAATATTTTTAATAATAATAATATTATTATTATTATTATTATTATTGTTATTATTATTATGGTTTTACTGCTATTAATATGCAGTAAGTATGATGATAGAGCTTGGTGTACGGCTTGGGCTGTGATTTTTAAGGCTGGCTTCTGAACGCTTTCGTGAAGTTTTTAATGAGAGTACTTTTTATTGTGTTTGGTTTTATTATTTATTTATAATATAAAATGTTATAAATTTATAATCAGTATTATTTATTTATGTTATATTGTAAAGTGATATTTTAAATTAGAAATAGACGTGAAGTAGTTTAGAAACGATATGATGATGATGATGGTATATGTCGTGTGTATTGGTTAAAATTATTATTGTATTATTAATGTAAATATGATAATTACCTTATTCTCTTGAATACAGATGATTGCTGTGAGAAAATTCGTTTTGAAGAGAAGTTCGGTTTGAAAAATACAGAATTAATTAGTTAATTAATTAATTAGATGTGAGCGGGATCGGTATTCAGGAGAGTGTGGTGATTAGAGAGTGGAAATGTATTGAACGGGAATGATTTCAGGTACGTTGACACCCGACTACAATACACCACCGCCACCACAGGGTCTGATGCAGAATCTGTTTCGAGGAAAATGTGAGCAGACCATCTTCTTCTTTGATTTATTTCTGTGCGGTGCGGTGCTCTTTGGGCTGGCTTTCTTTTGTTTTTTTAATTATTTAATTAGTATTGTTTGTTAATTAGTTATTACCTGATATTGCTGTGAGACGTGGAAGAATTGTTATTATTATTGTTATTTGGCAATTGCTCCGGGATATCGTTTGGCGTTTCGGCATGTGGGCGCGTAAATTTTATTTTTTTGGTTTGGCTTGGAGCTAGCCGGTGGCTGGATGGCTGGCTGGTTGCTTTGATATACGGCTTTAAAGCACCCGAAATTTGAGTGGTTTCCGAGCTGATTTCATTTCATCTAGTACTATCGCTGTGAGCATGTGATGTGATGGCTGCTGACTGGAATGGGAGATTATTTGAGGAGTGGATTGGATTGCTGGATTTAGTATTTTGGACCATGGGGGAACCTGTCAGGTGTACAGCGCACCTGAGATAGGTTCATAACATTAACTGAGTAACTACTGCTTAAACGAATCAGCTCGAAGCGACTCGAAACATTTTCCGTATTGAGTACGTTTTGAACATTTTGCCAAATGGTTCCGATCATGCCACACTGATATAGTGTGTAAAATATTGGATATTAGATAGATAGGATGGATTATGATTTGTATTCTTATCATTATTGTGATTATTATGGTTATTACTATTACTGTTACTGTTACTGTTATTATTACTATTATTACTATTGTTATTACTATAATAGATTGTTGTTACTGTTATGAAAATGAGTAATTTCTAGTGGGTGCGCCGCTGATTTCGTACGGGACGCAGTCGTCTTCGGCAGCAGCGTGTTATGGCAACACAAGGTTCAAACCGTACGTTGATCCGACGGCTTACGAGGATCCCAGTCAG